TCTTAACGATTTATGATATCTTCTATAATTCAAATAAATATACATTTTATCATCCAAAACCTTCGTTTAAACATAGAAGGTGTGTATACCAACTTATTTAATAAAAAAACAATTGACAGGACAAATATATCCAATTGTCGAGGTTGTTGTTTGTTTATGCATTAGAGGATTACGTGTATGATTGTAACGTAGGAATCGTCGTTATTTTCTTTATATGACCAATTGAGTTTGTATCTTCTTTAACATATTTTCGCTTGTGCTTATACATGAAATTCTTCTTACATGTAGAGTAATATATTCCTACCTCCAAAGGGTTCGATTTCTCGTTGAGAACAATATATGTCAATCCTTATTGAGTGAAAAATAGTGGAATTACGAATTTTCTAATGCTATATATTTTGTGAAACTTTAGTGATGTTGACATTTCCTCACATGTAATTGGGCCATAATGTCCTAAAATAAATAGATCTGACATTACAAAATTTGAGCATCCTTAGCGTGAAAATATGGAAATTGAAAGTTTGGAAGAAATGAAAAATTTGTAGGACCTCGATTATGAGAAGGAATTTGGACATTTTAATGAATTTGGAATTGTGACGGATGCTAAATAATTTGTGCATTCAGTGGACTGGTTTGAACGTTGTCAAATAAGATAATAGAAATCGATGAATTTGTTAAATACGATAGTTGAAATAGATTAACCGAGAGTAAATGATGGTTCTTAAAAGAACATAACAAGTTGTATTTATAGGTTTTTTTAGAAATAGTCGTAGAAAACTTGTATTTTTGTTGTTGAAATTTCAAACTTATAAATTTTTATATCAAAAATACAATTTTTTTTCTTATGATTTTATTAATTAACCTAGATATCCAACTCGTTAAGCGAGCCAACTAATCCCAGAGTTACCACTTGTTTTACAGGTAGTCTGGAGTCACTGCATTTGAACCTCTATAACTATAATGAGATTTTTATCCCTCTTTAAATTTAAACTTGGGATCTCCAAACATTATTGAAACCTAAACTCAAACCAATCAAACACCAACTTTATGTTTATTTAATTTTGATCCACCATGAACCGTTGATTGGCTATTGAGAAATCCATGACATCTCTTTCCCCACTATGGGGTGTCTAGTAACAAGATGTCACAAAAGGACCCACAATACACACATTGCAGGTGCTATCACCTCATGAAATAATATTCTGACACGGAGATTATCTTATACAGACCCTTTTTAAGTATCTATCAGAAAAATATTTGTATAATCCAATGAATTACATTTTGATTTTAATGTTTTGATTTTTTTATATTTTAGATGATGTTATAATACGATTTTATGTGATTTTAAGAAAACAATAATGTTTTTATTTTTGAATAAAATATTAATATGATGATATCATAAAAAAAATGAAAAAAATATATATTGATATTAGTATGAAGCTAACTATTTAAAAATTTCTCTTTTTTGTGTATTTTTTTAATTTATTTATTTTTGGTTTAATAATATAATTTTTTGTAGAGATAATAATCAAGTATTTTGTTAGAACTCAACGATTATCTTAATTATATTTTAGATTTTTTATATTTAAATAGAGATGGCTATCCTCTATTTGATTATGTTTATCTCCAGTTAGTTACACAAATTTAAACATGAAGCTTTAACAAGTTGTACTTACGAACAATTTACTTGTAATCTTAAATTTTAAGTAATAGACATCAATAGACAATACTTAATACATAAAAAATAACTTTTAAGAATTTTTGTCAAATGTTTTATAATATAATATAGACTAGAAAGGTACTCGCGCAATACAGCGAGGTACATCTTGATTTTAATATTTCATTTTATTCTTTATCTCAGTCGATGTTATAATATGATATTATGTGATTTTGAGAAAAACGATAATTTTTTATTTTTGAATAAAATATAAGTTTGAAGATATCATAAAAATTTGACAAAAATATATCGATATTAGTATCAAATTAACTATTTGAAATTCCTCATTTTTGTGTAATTATTTAATCCAATTTTTTTATAATTTAATTTATGTACAATAACTAAGTAATTTATATTTGGTTTAATAATATAATTTTTTATAAAGATAATAATTATTTATTTTGTTGGAACTCGATAATTATTCTAATTATATTTTAAAATGAGATGTTCATCTTT